GAATCTTCCTTGACCTTGAATAATGCTTCTCCTTTGTAGCATCATTATGGACAATTTTACCTTTTACTGTTTGATTATTTAATTATTCTCTCTCTCTCTCTCTCTCTCTCTCTCTCTCTCTCTCTCTCTGTCTCTCTCTCTCTCACTGGATTGTAAGCTCATTGTAGGTGGGAACTATATCTGTTTTCTTTCTTTCTTCTTCTTCTTCTTCTTTTTTTTTTTTTTTTTTTTTGGTACCAAGGATTGAACCCAGGGGCATTTAACCACTAAGCCACATCCCCAGCCTTTTTGTATCTTATTTAGAGACGTGGTCTCACTAAGTTGCTGAACCTGGCATGTGCCACCATGCCTGGCTTGAATCTGTTTTCTTCTCTCTGTTTATTTCAAGAGAAAAGTAGCATCGAGTACAAATTAGGAAGCGAAACCATATGTGGTGAGGAACACCTGTAATCCCAGTGACTTGGGAGATTGAGGCAGGAAGACTGCAAGTTTGAGGCCATCTAGGGCAATTCAGCAAGATCCTGTCTCAAAATACCAAAAGGACTGGAGACTGAATTCAGTGGTATAGTGAGTGCTCTGGGTTCAGTTGGAGTACCGCGGGGGCGGGGGGTGGGGAGAAAAGAAAAAGTAGGGACTTGTTTTTTTGTGGATGGATGGATGAGTGGCTTTTTGAAGTATTCATTTTTGTGCTACTTGGAATGTAGCACAAAAATGGAATCCAAGATGTTGGAGGTCTGACAGGATAAAAACAAACAGATACAGAAGAGATCATCCATTTGTAGGCTCAGAGAAAGGTGAGCAGATGTGCTCATCCTGTCCCTGTTTTCCTCTCCAGCTTTTTCCAAAGATCAACCCTGCTGGATCTTGTCTGCAAGCCTGGTGGGCTTTCATCAGCAAGCCATTCTGTTTCCACCAAGGGCCATTCTCACTCCTTTCTGGACATTGATCCCTGGACATTAAAGGAGCTACTTAGGGTCTTAGGGCATGAGAGTCATTACACTTCTCCATCCCTGAGCTTATTCTCTAGACACTTTATGCACATTAGGGAAGTACAGCTTGAGCATCCCCAGCACCAACATGATATCATGCTCAAAAGATTCAGAATTTTTTCTAATAGGGATATTCTACCAGTAAAGTCCAGGCAAATGTCCCCCCCCMMAAAAAAAAAAAAAAAACTTCTGAAATCTGAAACAGTTGTGGTCCCAAGCATTTTGAATAAGGAATACTCATCTGGACTCTGATAGTTTTGAGCTAGTGTGGAGGAGTCAGATTTTTCGAGCCACCCTACTCAGGCACCAACTTGTGTGATCTTGGGGAAAATACTTAGTATTCCTAAGCTTATTTTGTAATCTGTAAAATGGGGTGACGGTACCGACTGCATGGGGTTGTTGTGCTGTCCTATTCTATAGAAATATAACACAAGCCACAGATGACATTTACATTTCTCAGTGCGAATATGAAACAGGATAAATTATAGTATGTTTAATTTAACCCAAGAGATCCAAAATATTATCATTTCATCATGTAATCAATAATAAAACAACTACTAATGAGATATTTCACATTCTTTTTATTCATATTATAGCTTCAAATCTCGCGTACATGCAACATTTACCCGCACGTACTTTAGCTCATACTAACATTCAACCAATGTTGGCAAAATTATTGTTATTCATTTTGAAACATCAAAAATTGGGTGGACAAACATTCATAATGCACACTTGCATGTATTGCCAAATGAGAAGATGTCTCAGAATTATTTCTGATTCCATTTGAAGGGAATAAAGAGTTGCCTTGAAGAGTTCCCAGCTGTTCCCTGTAGGTCAGCCTCTCTAGGTTTCAGAATGAGGTCAGTTTGGTAGTTTATGGTTGCCTTTTCTTTGGGAGGTGGGGAAGGGGAAACTGCATGTGCTTCGAGTGCTGCCTGCCTGTCTCTGGTTTTTTGGCTCTTCTCTGTTTAATTATTTGGAGCTGGAACAACTTGATTTTAAAACAAAACATATGGGCTGAGAGTAATTGGGAGGGCGTTTGCTAGTGATGTAGCACCAAAGGTATGTATCAAGTTGAGGCCCCACTTGCTCACTTAGGTATCCAGCGTTTTCCCTTACTTCAAGATTGTACTCTTTTTCCAAATTCTTAAACACTTGTTTGGAAAGTCACAGTCAAAGCAGGAAATATTGGAGCAAGATTGTAAAGGAAATTGTGGGTCTTCTTTAAATCTGAATTTTTTTTTCTCTCTCCTTTTGGTAGAAAACCATTGGGTCCTTCGCTATTTATATGATTCATAAAAGAAAACAAGTTGTTTTTCAAAATGCCAAGAGAAAAGAGAATTTTATTTAAAGGGGAGAGAGTCGAATCCCCCAGTGAATTCTCTGTCCTTCTCCTTCCCTCGTTGGCTGGCGCCAATATAGAGAATTTCTGATCTACAATCAGTTCTTAGGTGAAGGCAAGACTTTTTGCCTCTTTTTTACCTTTTTAATGCCTCTTCTGCTTGCTGGGGGAGGAATTTATGATGTACTGATCATATCCCATGTAATTTTAGCTTAAATGCTGCAACTTTTATGTGGGGGGAATGGGCACTTCTCATGAGTGGTGAGTACCCGTGCCCATCTTAATCAACGTCTGCCCCTCCACTTAGAGGCTCCGTGCCTCTAAACAAGTTACGCAAACTCTCTAAGCCTCATTTTCCTCTTTCCTACAGCAGAGGGTAAAAATAGTGTCTATTTCAAAATGAAATTGTTCTGAAGTATTGCCGACAAGACACTAAGCACAGCTCCTGGCAACTAAGAAACACAAACAAATGTTGGCAATTAGATAAGGGCCCTCACCTGTAACCTTCTGCCCTCTTCAGCATCAAGAGGGACAATTGACCACTATGCCTTTTGCCACCACATCCCACCCATTGCTTGCAGGACTATATGTTGCATCAGGGGAGATAACCAAACAACTGTCCGTGAAGAGCTTTCACATTAAAAAGTCGCCATGTCATTGGGATGAGTTTGATGTCATTGTGAGTGAAGTCAGAGCTTCAGCTGTGCGCGCTGGTGCTGCTTAGGTCCTGTGGAGTGCTGTGTCGGTTGATTCACTTGTCGGTTGATCCTCTATTTGCATGATAAGTATGTCCATAAAACACTATGAGTATGACTATAACATCCTGAGTTGTTTTATTTGGGTACGTTTGCTGTTTGGGATCTGAAATGACATATGAAATAGCATTCTGACCACAGTTTTTCTGCCAGGGTGATGAAAACAAGAATTATTTCTAAACACTCTATAGGAGCAAGGGTTGGAAGAACAGGGTCTTCGGTTTTTATAGATCAAGGACATGCTGAAGCTTTTCTGTATAGGGGTTTATGTATGTATTGCCTCCTCTCTTATTTATTGTCAGTTAATTGTTGGGAGCTTTGGGAAGTTCTACTTTTAAAAACATGGCCACATTTCAGCGTAGTTAATTGTCTTCTTCCAGTCCCCTCTTTCCCTCTACTCCTGCTATTTTCCCTCCCGGGTTTGGATTTATTAGCCATTGCCTCCAAAATGTCAGTAACTCCCTGCTGTGAGCAGCAAAGCCCCCTCCAGGTGGACAGTTCTCGGATTTCCCTGAAATCGTAAAGAATAACCACTCTCACTCTCATGTTCTCTGCAAACCCTCTCCTTGGACAGCTGGCCTGACATTTAACTTAATCAAGATGTTAATAAAACAAACAGTGTGTGCTGCCTCCATGAGACTTCTCCTGCTTGTCACTTTCCCACTCTCTATTCACTTAAGTGTTTGGAAAGGAAATCCAGAGTCACCATTGACAGTGAAGGTGAGGAGGGAGGAGAATCTTCCCTCACAGCCACTTACACCAGCTCCAGTCAGGGCTCCAGTGGGTGGGCAGCCCTGAGTAGTGCGCCACCCAATCCGTGGCATCCCAGTGATAAGACACCCCATTATTTTAAGTACTATCCTGGGGAGGGGGACCAAGCTATAAGATACCATCAACTTTAAGACATATTACAGTTTCAGAGTTGTTAAGATTTAGGGAGGAAAATGTGCATCTTAGAGCCGATGGAATACAGTGAGAATTAATGAAAGTGGAAAGTCTTCCCAGTTATCAGCTGCTGCCCTCCTGTCACCACTTTCCCATCCTCAGTGCAGCTAATTGGCAGAGCTGTGAGATGTGTGGTGTGTACGAGCTGTGCCTCTGCTGGGCTGGATGCGTCAAGTGATGCGTGGAGTTGGAGGACTGAGTTTAGACCAAGAAGAGGCACGGAAGCTGTCTGACCTACCATTTAAGTAATTTAAGTTTCTGAAAAATACAAGAATATAGGAATTGAACTTGATCAGATTCTTGTTGCCTTTGAAGGAGTGATAAAGAATTGTCAGGGGAACTGGATGCCTTTGCCGTTTATGATGGAGAGGAGAGGATTGTGGCTCCTCTGACTTCAGGCGCTGCTTGTCTGTTTTCCAGTGAATGTCAGGCTTAGACTCATGGGAATACCACTGTTTTCTCTCCTACCCCCAGAAGTAGCATTCTGCATTGTTGATAACTGATTTCACTCAAGATTCTACCTAATGCCTGTTGGGAGGGTGTATGCCTGGAATTCTGGTGACTCAGGAGGCTGAGACAGGAGGATCTCAAGTTAGAGGCCAAACTTTGCAACTTAGTGAGGCCCTAAGCAATTTAGTGAGACTCTGTCTCAAAATAAAAAAATAAACAGGGCTGGGGATGTGGCTCAGTGGTTAAGTGCTGCTGGGTTTAATCCCCAGTATGAGGTAGGGGTCTACCTTTCTACCTAAGTATTATTATTTATATTGAATGACTTCTAAGCATCCTTCTTAATGTTGTAATAATTTAAGGCAGAGAGATTAAGGAATTTCTTTTCCTGGTAAAGGTGATTTAGAGGAAGCCATTTTCCAATCAGGTGAAGTGACAGAAGAATTGATTGAAGTCTTATTTGTATTAGCAAACATATAGTGTTCACCCTCATACTGACATTGCTTTCTTTCTTTCTTTCAGTTTTTGGGGATAGCATTTCTTGGAATTGGACTGTGGGCGTGGAATGAAAAAGTAAGTTGAATATCATGAAAATGCTCACATTTTGGTTAGAGTCTGTATGTGACATGTCTTTTTTTTTTTTTTTTTTTTGTCTTCGACGGCCCCAGAGTGTGAAGAATTATGGCTCTTTGATGAAAGAATGAATTCTTGAAAGATAAATGTTACATTTGCCAAGACTCTATAGGGATGGACCCTAAAATGATTACTGCATCAAAATAATTACAAAAGTAACAATATTCATGTGCAACAGAGAATGTGGTTGGAATTTAATCAGTTGGCCAGAGATCCATGTTCCCGTAGAGTATTTTTTTACCCAGGCACAAAAATTATAGTAATGCTTGAAAATATCACTAAACAACCTGTATCCTCCCCACTCTGTCTTTACTTTTTAAAAATCCTTTAGAAGATGGCTCAAGCCATAAAACATGTTTTTTTTTTTAGTGTGTAGTATGATAAATTATTAGCATGGGTTATGAAATAAGCCAGATAAAAATTCATGTTTGAAGATCAGATAAACTCATCATTGATGCTAAAAAATGCAAATAGGTGGATGCTAATTCTAAGTATTAAGAAATGTTCAAAGTCAATTGCCAAGTACAGTATAGTAAAGGGAGAAATCTGGAAATTCAGAGTAGCGTGTTCTACATTACAGAGGGCTGGTGCCGTGCTGGGGCCTGTTTCTGTTCCAAGCAGCATACTTGTGAGGATGATGCCCCATGTTAACACCTCCACTAGACTTTCCATTGCATCTTTTAATTTTTCTCTACAACTTTCCCTACTAAGGCCACCACTAGAATTCAAAAATGAGTGTGAACCCTTTTAATCTTCCTTGTTTGGAAGTGAAAGCGCTGGCAGCCTTGATCTGTCCTGGTATTTGCTACAGTCAAGCCTCGCTGTCATCCACCTGGTGAGAGAGCAAGGGTGTTTGGTTAGTTAAAAGTTCTTGTAAACTAAGGAGTGAGCTGAACTTTTTCCAGAAGACCATTGCTTCATCTCTTGGGTATTCACCCTGGAGCCTGATCAGGCCTGAAGCCAAAAGTTCTTTTGAAGTGATAGATGTATTAAGGACCATTATCAGTAGATAAAAATGAGAGAAACACTCAGAAGTTCCAGCAAACAAAAGACCTTCAGATGCCAGTGGGAATCTCCACAACTAAAACAACATGCAGATACACCTTCAGATAGACCTCCTAAAACGAAACTCAAATACTGAATTTTGAAAATGTGCTATTGTCGGGGATGCAGCTCAGAGCTAGAGAGCACTTACACAGCATGTTCGAGGCCCTGGGTTCTATCCCTGGTACCCCCCCCCCMAAAAAAAAAGAGAGATTTATTTACAAAATGCCATTGTAGTATATAAAATGTGTTTTGGAAAATGAACCTGCCCTGCATGCTTCTGAGGCAGGACTGTGATTATACCTGAAGTAAGACAAATTAAGTTCCCCAAACAGATAATTTTATCTCCAGAAACTTTTCCATTGAATACTAATCTTCTCTTGGATTATGATTGGCTTCCACCTCATCCCAGTTAAGCTTAGGGATTTGTATTGGTGGAGTCACAGAAATTTCCCTTCTAAAAGCCCTCTGGTTCGTTAAATGCCAGATAACACAGCTTTTTATAACTCCTTTAATAAGTGTCCATTTCCTTCTGCTTTGAAAAACTGCTGGGAGGTATTAAATGAACTAATTGCCTATTCTAGCAATAAACAGTTGATCATTTTATAGGATTTTTTGATGAAATATAATTATCTTTTATTTCATTCGTTGCCTTTTAAATGTCTCTTTTCTCATAAAATCACAAACTTCTAGTCTCACAAATCCAGAGCAAGGGGTGACACAGTGTTTCTCTTGAAGTCTGGAGTTACCTTGCCAAGTCACCTAGCTACTGTGTAGCAGAACTTCATGAGCAAGGACCAGATCAGAGTAGCAGAGAATAAAGAAGGTGTCCAGCCTCACACAAACCCAGTTTTGTGAGCACTGGCTGCACGTCTGTGACCTGGGCGTGGGGGATGCAACAGGGAATGAGCTTTCATTCTAGCGGGACATTGACCGGAAGCAGGTCATTGGCCAAGAATATGCACCTAGGTACCGGTGAGTGCTTGGAATTGGATTGTGGGCTCAGAAACATTAAGTATAGGGTGAGGGCTACTTTTGGAGTCTCTTCTAGATGGAGTCCTTGGCAACAGCCTCCCTGAGAAAGTGGCATTGGAGCAGAGACCAGAGAAAGTAAGAGAACTGTGCAGAGTAATGGGATAAGAGCATTCCAGAAGAGGGATAGCAAGTGCAGTGGTCCTGAGGCAGGGCCTGGGTGATTCCACTGAGTGACAGGAAGGAGCAAGGACAGGAAATAGGGGCTATGACTGGAGAGGTAGGCAGAGACCAGTTTGGGTGTATTCTAGGAATGAGAGGAGCCACCAGGGCATTTTGGTAAGGGAGGATCCCCATCTAACTCTCGGTTGCTATGTGGGAAAAGAACCAAGCTTTGGGGTTGGTTACAGACTGAATGTTGGTGACCTATATAATTTAAATGTCAAGGCCCTCGTCCCCAATGTGATGAGGCTGTGGAGTGCAAATAGATTCTGATGGTAGAACTCTCATGTCCTTATCAGAGGAGATGGTAGAAGGGTCTCTCCATCCCCACCCACAACTGCCAGGAGAGTACATAACCAGGAATCAACCATCACTAGGCACCAAGGCTGTTAGCATCTTCATCTTGGATTTCCTAGTCCCCAGAACTGTGAGAAATAATAGTGTTATTTAAGCCACCTGTCTGTGATGCTGATTGTAGCAGCCTGAATAGACGTGAGTTTAAATTCTGGCTCCTCCATTCACCATCTCCTCCAGGTGACTTTTGGGCAACTGGGTTTACTTCTCTGAGATGCCCTTTCCTTGTTTGTGCAATAAGACCACTTATCTCACCCGATAAGCTCCTTGTGAGCACAGGTTCAGGCTCCCTGGAGACGTGGCTTTGGAAGCTTGACTACAGCACGTTGGCTCCAGCATGGAGGCAACAGCAGAGGATGGTTTCTAAAGCTACCTCAAATTTTAGAGGGGTTCCAAGCTCAGACCCATGCAACAGAGAGGACTGGATTTATTTGGGGTTCTCTTAAGGAGGATGTGATGTGCATAGATGACCTTAGTAACTACAAAGGCCACACCATTGAACTTGAACTCCTTTGGGTTAACCTTCACACTGGGATGTTTTGAGGAGAATCTCAACCAGTTTGAGGGCAGCAGGCAAGTGTGCCCCTGCTAAGCTGATAATATCAGTGGGTGAAACAGTAAATGCCCCAGACCAAGATGTGGTGATATTTAAAGGTAGCCTGGAGCGAAAGCCCTTAAACTGGGTCACAGATGGAAGGATCCGATTTCCACTGCAAGGATCAGATTTCCTAAACAGATGGAGCTTTATATTTAATTTAATTTATTTATTTAGCAGTAGTAGGGGTGGAACCCAGGGACACTCTACCACTGAGCTACATCCCCAGTCCTTTTAGTTTTTATTTTGATACGGGGTCTGCTAAATTGTCCAGGTTGGCCTTAAACTTTGATCCTCCTGCCTCAGTCTCCTTAGTAGCTGGGATTTCAGGTGTGTACCACCACACTCAGCTTAGATGGGGCTTTAAACATATTAACATGGAGTACAGAAACTTTGGTGACAAAAATTATTACCACTCATACTTAATTTTTAAGATCATCAGAGTTTTAAACCTAGAGTGAATATTAGACATAATTATTAGATAATTCATTTTATCTAAATTCCAAATTGTCTGTGAATAGGCAAAGGATGCCTGTCTCCAGGGAAAGCAGGTTTATGTGGAATTTTTCAGTGATCATAGGACCTGCTGTTTGGAAGAACATTATAGTTGCGCAGCATGAATCACCTCTATAACAACACTCTGGCAACATCCAGCCATAATGAACTCATTCATTCAAATAAGATTATTTAGCACATAGATGTGACAGGGCTATTCTGGATCTAGGAATATGAAGATAATATGTTTTCAGTCATCAGAGAATTTACCCAATTGTAGGAAGGGTGTGTGTGTGTGTGTGTGTGTGTGTGTGTGTGTGTGTGTGTGTATATATATATATATATACAATGCATACATGTGCACAAAACAAGACATTACCATAAATGCTAGTTAGGAGTGTACATACATTTACTAATTCTCACAGCAAACTACCCACCATTTCTGACTCTTTGGGTTGCTCCTACTATTGGAAAGAGCTTCCTTCCGTCAAATTAGTCTCATGTCACTCATTGGTTCTGGATCTACCAGTTGGATTCTACAGCAAAAGTCCTTCCACATGTTAGCCCTTGAGGCAATTCAGGGTGGAGGTCTGGTTCCTTTGGAATTTCCAGACTAAACAGCTTCTCTGGGTGATCCTCACAGGCCTGGGCTGGAGTCCCTTTTCTGTCTTGGTCATGCTCCTCTGGCCTCCCTGAGTGTGTCTGTACTCTGGACAGGATGCTTTTGGGACATAGCGAATAAGGCTGCATCACACCCCCTCTCACATCATGAGATGTCTTTGAAGCTTGACACCCACTGTTGTTGATCACAGAATCCACAGCTTGCTGACAGTCCCAGGCTGGTCACAGATCTGGCTGCCTTACCACCTTGTGTCTGGCTGGTTTTCAAAGTCAAATGGAAGATTGCTCCTTTACACACTGATATGTCAGCCCACCTCTCTGCACCTGCTGAGATGGCTCTGAAGCCTGAATGTCCTCCAGCAGGTCACCTTTCCGCTCTGCTTGGCTTCAGCTGCACAAGGTGGTCAACATCCTCCCTTAATTCCTCCTTCTGCATGAGGCCTTCCTGTAGCCTGTTCCTGGCCCCCATGCCACCTGGAAATTCCAGTTCAGTAAGTCTGGGAGGGAGCCTGGGATAAGCCTCTAGTTTTCACTGATAAAAACCACTGATATATTGAGCAGGCCAAGGACATAGCTGACAACTTGTCACTGGGATTTTCTCCAGAGGTGACATTCATTCACTTAGGTTTGCTCTTGG